TCACCAAAAAGTTAGTTACATATGTTTTTAGCATTTAAAAGTGGAGCAAAATACTTAGGGATGGTACCTGGAGTGTTTTTTTTTTTTTTTTTTTTTATTTACTTGGTATTTACAGGTGAAACTAAAAATTAGAATATCGTGCAAAAGTTCATTTATTTCAGTAATACAACTTAAAAGGTGAAACTAATATATGAGATAGACTCATTACATGCAAAGCAAGATAGTTCAAGCCGTGATTTGTCATAATTGTGATGATTATGGCTTACAGCTCATGAAAACCCCAAATCCACAATCTCAGAAAATTAGAATATTGTGAAAAGGTGCAATATTCTAGGCTCAAAGTGTCCCACTCTAATCAGCTAATTAAGCCAGAACACCTGCAAAGGGTTCCTGAGCCTTTAAATGGTCTCTCAGTCTGGTTCAGTAGGAATCACAATCATGGGAAAGATTGCTGACCTGACAGTTGTGCAGAAAACCGTCATTGACACCCTCCATAAGGAGGGAAAGCCTCAAAAGGTACCGTATTTTCCGGCGTATAAGACGACTGTGTCTATAAGACGACCCCCTAATTTTCCAGTTAGGTTTTGGGCTATACTCGCCGTATAAGACTACCCCCCTTCCGAGGCAACACCATTTAAAAACATCAGATTTTTTTATTGAAATGGTTATGACTTACCGGTACTTAAAATCCTTCAAAATTCTCATGTTCATCCTCTGACATCATAAGTTCATGAATGACATCTTGTGGTACATTTGCAAGACAGTCATCATATGGATCAAATTCCAAATCAGATGGTTTCCACTGGATGTGCAGTAATATGGTAGCTTCGGCCACATACAGTATACAGTATATATACAGCCCGCTGGATGTGCAGTAATGTACATACAGTATACCGCGCTGAGCCAAGCTGGCTCAAAACAAATGTCCCTATGACAGATTAATCTGTCAACCCGCTGGATGTGTGGTATATACAGTATACTGAGCCAAGTACGTACCGGTACGTTCCTACGGTAATCAGACAGCTGGATGTGTGTATGTACAGTAGCTGTGGCTACATACAGTATACGCTGGGCCAATCATGGCGAGCGATGTATTCTACTAATGAATACAAAGCCTGCTCGGATTGGCTGAGGTTGTGACATCATCAGCCCACCTCTCTGACTCAGCCAATCCGAGCAGGCTTTGTATTCATTAGTAGAATACATCACTCGCCGTGATTGGTCCAGTGTATACTGTATGTAGCCGCAGCTACCGTACATACACGCATCAAGCGGGCTGATTACAGTAGTGACGTACCGGTACGTTTTGAAACCGCTTGGCTCAGCGCAGTATACTGTATATACCGCACATCCAGCGGGCTGACAGATTAATCTGTCATAGGGACATTTGTTTTGAGCCAGCTTTGCTCAGCACGGTATACTGTATGTACAGTATTACCACAAATCCAGCCAGCTTGACCCAAACAAACTCAAGGTTCACATTTTATACCCTGCGTATAAGATGACCCCCAATTTTTGGGGTATATTTTTTAAGTATAAAAAGTAGTCTTATACGCCAGAAAATACTGTAATTGCAAAAAAAGTTGGATGTTCCCAAAGTGCTGTATCAAAGCACATTAATAGAAAGTTATCTGGAAGGGAAAAGTTTGGAAGAAAAAGGAGCACAAGCAGCAGGGATGACCGCAGCCTGGAGAGGATTGTCAGGAAAAGGCCATTCAAAAGTGTTGGGGACTTTCACAAGGAGTGGACTGAGGCTGGAGTCAGTGCATCAAGAGCCACCACACACAGACGGATCCGGGACATGGGCTTCAAATGTCGTATTCCTCTTGTCAAGCCATTCTTGAACAACAAACAACATCAGAAGCGTCTTAACCTTGGCTAAAGAAAAACAGACCTGGTCTGTTGCTCAGTGATCCAAAGTCCTCTTTTCTGATGAGTGCAACTTTTGCATCTCATTTGGAAACCAAGGACCCAGAGTATGGAGGAAGAATGGAGAGGCACACACTGCAAGATGCCTGAAGTCCAGTGTGAAGTTTCCACAGTCTGTGTTGATTTGGGGAGCCATGTCATCTGCTGGTGTTGGTCCACTGTGCTTCATTAAGTCCAGGGTCAACGCAGCCATCTACCAGGAGATTTTGGAGCACTTCATGCTTCCTTCCGCAGACGAGCTTTGTGGGGATGCTGACTTCATTTTCCAGCAGGACTTGGCACCTGCCCACACTGCCAAAAGCACCAAAACCTGGTTCAATGATCGTGGGATTACTGTGCTTGATTGGCCAGAAAACTCGCCTGACCTGAACCCCATAGAGAATCTATTGGGCATTGCCAAGAGAAAGATGAGAGACATGAGACCGAACAATGCAGAAGAGCTGAAGGCCGCTATTGAAGCATCCTGGTCTTCCATAACACCTCAGCAGTGCCACAGGCTGATAGCTTCCATACCACGCCGCATTGAGGCAGTAATTGCTGCAAAAGGGGCCCAAACCAAGTACTGAGTACATATGCATGCTTATACTTTTCAGAGGTCTGATATTGTTCTATATACAATGCTTTTTTTATTGATGTAATATTCTAATTTTCTGAGATTGTGGATTTGGGGTTTTCATGAGCTGTAAGCCATAATCATCACAATTATGACGGCTTGACCTATCTTGCTTTGCATGTAATGAGTCTATCTCATATATTAGTTTCACCTTTTAAGTTGCATTACTGAAATAAATGAACTTTTGCACGATATTCTAATTTTTCGAGTTTCACCTGTATATACTGTACACTTTATTGCATGCATGCAAGGCTGGGCTGGCCGATAGACCAGATAGTCAGCCCAAGGCTGGGCTGGCTGATAGACCAGATAGTCAGCCCAAGGTAAGCCCAACACTGATGGTAAGCCCAACACTAGATCTGATAGTCAGCCCAGCGCTGGGCTGGCTGATAGACCTGATAGTCAGTCCAATGCTGGGCTGGCTGATAGACCTGGTAGGCAGCTCAACAACTAGTTGAAGAAGGACACATTGCAGGCTAACACCACCACTGCTAATTTTATGGTTGTGGTTTAGTATTCTCAGCCTGCAATAGAAGTGCTGTTTCTGGCAGCATCTCCAGATAGAAAACTTGCAACACAGTTTCACAAAAAAACTATTTACAAAAAAATGTATACATAACGCCAACTGGAAAAGAGGTTTACTTGTAACGTATATATACATTTTAAAGATGAATCTGAACCTTGAAGAAAGATGTATAAAGTTTTAACATTTTTCAGATAAAAATGTCAACTGACTTGCTTGATATACTGTAGATAATCTTTTTAATGTGTTAATGTCTCAAAACATTTTTTCTATGGATAAGTAACACAAAGACAAACAAAACCGGCGCTCCAATCCTCATGCAGACTTAAAAAATATCGGGATGCCAGATGAAGAGGTGCTGCCCTTCAAAGATCGAGAAATCTGACCACTGGTGAAAAAGAACAGACAAGGGCGCACTCTCATCGTGCATTACCGTGGTATACCACATGTTTATTAAAAAGACAAATGGATATATACTCACAAACCAACGATATAAAAGCAGTGTAGGTGGTCGACAAGAACAGCCACAAAGATATTGTGTCCTTGATAAGTGTTTCGGGAGCTAGACCCCCTTCCTCAGAGCTCCCGAAACGCGTCAGTTTATCCTTATCAAGGACACAATATCTTTGTGACTGTTCTTGTGGACCACCTACACTGCTTTTATATCGTTGGTTTGTGAGTATAGATCCATTTGTCTTTTTAATAAACACGTGGTATACCACGGTAATGCACGATGAGAGTGCGCCCTTGTCTGTTCTTTTTTACAATTAGTAACACATGTACATGGGGAAAACAAAACTGGCACATTACATTGGTAGGCTCTACTCCCTACTTTGCAGTGCTACACATTGTTTGCATTTTATAGATCCTGCTCACAATGCAAGTCTGATGCTGCCAGCTCAGAACAATTCTCTCCCTATGTGGCTACAAAAACAAAAATATTAAAAAAGCAAGTTTGTAAAATATGTCATATCAAAAATGACTTAAAGGTATTCACTGCAGTAAAAACTCTAAACTCAATATGCTTTTACTATGGTATATATAGATGTAAAGTCACATGCAGGGCCGGCACTACAAGTAGCAAACTAGGCAGCCGCCTAGGGAGCACTGCTGCCTAGGACCCAGCCACCACCGCTGGTTTCTCTACTCTCCTCCATGGTAGCATCTAGAGGGGTGCTGCCGTGGCTACTCTCAGTTTTCAATTGGACTTTTCATATTTCAGTTGAGTGAGCTGGGAAGGGTATTGTGGATAATGGGGGGGGGGGGGGGGTATTTGTGCAAGGAGTAGGAGGGAGGTTTGGGGGGAGAGGGGGATTTGTGCTAAAAGGGGGGGGGGGGGATTTGGGTAAGGTGAGGGGATTTCCTGTGAAGAGTCATTTAGAGGGCTTTTAGCTAGTGGAGTGGAATATGTCCTACATGGGGGGATTGAAGAAAAGGGATTAGTGCTAGAAGAAGAGATTGGGGAGAAATTTGTGCTAGGGGGGGGGGGGGGGGATTTGTGTTTGGATTTAGGAATTTGTGCTAGGAGAGGGAGATTGGGGGGGAATTTGCGCTAGGAGGTGGAATTGTGCTAGGAGGAGGGATTTAGAGAAATTTGTGTTAGAACGTGGGATCTGGGGGAAAGAATCTGTACTAGGGTGGAAAATTTGAGGGGAAAGAGGATGTGTGCTAGGAGTGAAGTAGAACTACAAGTTATAGATTTTTTTTGGGGGGGGGGGGTGCAAGTAACAGGTCTTGCCTAAGGCGTAAAATAGTCTAGCACTGGCCCTGGTCACATTTATTGTTTGATGGAGAAATCCTGTAAATATACTGTAGTTTCTGATGTATAGCTGCATTGTACAACCAATTAAGTAAAGACAACATTTTCTTTTGTTTGTACTCTTCCAAATTAAACAAAGCTTTTCCTAATAAAAATTATTTCTCCTTGCTACTTACCCAATATCCAGCCTTCTGGAAGATTGCCAGAAGTCAAGATTGTATGTAAGCTTGAATGTTTTAGTATGTAGGAATCATGTGTAGATCCAGGATATCCAGCTACCAAATTAAGAATCCTCATATCAGATGCACATACCATTTGAACATTTAAAGAGTGAAAATTCTTGCTGTTTCTGTAAATATCTTCTGTTGGGGGTGACAGGGCGACATGAGTACAGTCAATTACCCCCATGACATTAGGAAAGGAGGACATTTTAAAAAAGCCATCTTTTATTGTTTGTATTGCAGCTTTATCTGATGGGAAAACAATGTACTGTGGAGTTAACTTGTTGATGGCCTTTAGGACTTGAGTCAGATGCCTGCTGAAACTTGGTTGGGATATACCAGAGAGAGCGGATACTGTACCCTGAAATGATGCAGAAGAAAAGTAATGTAGAGCACTGAGCAATTTTACCATTCCTGGAACAGCATGGTTCCGTTCACAGTTCGGCTCTATATCTTGTTGGATCTGTTCATATAGCTCCAGTATAACTTCAGTACTAAAGCGATACCTTGATCTAACTTCTTCCTCATTTAATCCAAAAAGGGATATTCTTGGTCTGAAAACCCGTTCTCTGTGTTTGTGGTTTGGATTGGAATCTTGCCGCAATATTTCTTGCTGGGCACCTTTCTCATGTATACGAAACATGGTATGTAACTCCATAACTGGGCTGCAAAGATCAATAAAAGAAATTAAATCTTTCATATAAAATATATTCACATTGCCAAAACATCTTCATAAGAACAATACAATAAATAGTATTCAATGAAAAAAAATCATCACAATTCAGTAACCATTGTTTATAGTATATTGAAAGTGTAGGAAAGGGTCAGAACCCCAGTTAGATTTTATTGTTGTCTGTGTCCTGGTTGGGAAGATCAACTCTATCCATCCTGGCGACCGTTGTCACAGGAACTAAAAGGGATAAGAAAATCAAACATTTTGAGCTGTCACTTGAAGAGAAATAAGGGAAATCTTCCAAAGGGAAGACTTTTTCGAGTGACAACTGTCTACATGAGGATTTCCTCAAACTGGAAAATTTCTTCTCCCTTCCTTCTATATCTAGGAACAGGAAGTGAAGAGAAATCTCCCTGGACACATTACAAAAAAACCTTTTAGAGAGATTTTAATCATTCCCTTCTCTATCCAAAATTAAAAAGTTTTCGGTTTAAATACACTCGAGGAAGGCTAAAACAGAAGCCAAGGGAACATCTTTCATTACTTTCTTACATTAACCTTCATTAATTTCCAAGAAAAGGTTACAAGGGAAACAAAAACATCTTTCTGTAAGTTTGGTCTACCAATGCTAGGGACCTTTCAAACCTATGCATTTTTGTACAAAGTAAGAAAGAAGTATTTAAAATATAGATATTCCATGACCCTAAAATTGCACAATACATGTCTTTGTGAAATGAACATTAAATTATATGAACCTGCTTAAAGCGGTATTAAACCCAAAACAAATATAATATGTTGCAGCTTACCAATCATTAGATGTGGTGGCTGTATTTGTTTTCTTTTTAAGGCATTTTTTCCCCCTCTGTTTCACCTGGTGATATGACCAGTAAAACACCTCCTGTATTAGAGTGCCTCCACTCTGCATGAAGGAGCTAAGGGGCACCCTTGGACAACAGCACTTTCAGTCTGGGGGGAAGGGAGTGTTAGATGGACTAGCAGATTTAAATGCATTAACAAACTGAAGCCTAATCCCAGCTAATACTCTATCAGCAGTTACAGCAAACCATTGTTTTTCCCTTTCTGGATAATGGTTTTACATTAATCAATAAAAGCTGATCCTTGTAAGCATCCCTGCTAGTGTTAAATGGCTTGTCTCGTCCCTGTAAATGATACATACTGCTGAAAAACCTGTTCTTCTGAAAAACTACAGACTTACTGACTGGATCACCAGCTGAAAAAAGAAAGCCTAAATAGAAAATGAATGCGGTCATCATATGTAAGAAATGGTAAGCTGCAAAAGAATAAAATGTCTGCTTTTGGGTTTAATACCAATTTAAAGTGCATAAACTCAACAAACTACTGCCATCAGTGTATAATAATACAAGACTGTATACTACTTCAGGTTTGTACAAAAGGGAAGAAAGAAAGAAAGAAAGAAAGAAAGAAAGAAAGAAAGAAAGAAAGAAAGAAAGAAAGAGAAAAAAACTTACGTGAAACAAGCACAAAAAAAAAAAATACAATTTTAAACAGTAGTTCCACAATAATTAAATACACAGTATATGAAAAGTACAAAATCTGACATACATTTATTTTATTTGCATTTTTAGCAGTGCATTTAAAGTATAACTAACAGCAAAACTTTTTTATTTAGTTTTGGATAGAGTGGAAATGGATTAAAACACCTGGCAGTTTTTATTGTTATCTGTATCCCTGTTAGGGAGATTCACCCTCTCTATTTGTCCTGTTTGCCATTATCATCAAAAGTGAAGGAAAACCCCAAATTTTGGGTTGTCCTCAGAAAAGTAATAGAGGGGAAATTTCCTTCATTTCCTTCTTCTCCCGCTTCTTGTTTTGGCAATAGGTCAGGAATTGAAGGGAAATCTCCCCAATGGCAAAAAATAAAATGATGGAGGTTTGAACCCTCCCTTACTCTATCCAAACTGAAAGAAAAAAAAAAAGTTTTGCTTAGTTTTACTTCAATAAGAGATAATTAGCTGAAATCCAGCAAATGTGACCACTCGGCCTGTCTTTGCATGCCCTAATCTCTGTCTTAACTAAGGATCGCAGCAAGTAATATTTTGCATGACGTTTCATAAGACAAAAAAAAAAAAAAGAGGATTTTCAGAATGACCATCAAACCAAATAAGAGTTTTTACGCATGCCACCAGGAATCATGCTCAGATGTAAAATGGAGTGTGCATGCCAAGCAACAGTCCTTTAGTGTGGTACACATACTGTCAGTCAAAAACAGCCCATTCAGCTGATAATAAAAGTAATCACTTAACATTTTCTAGCTTATCCTTTCAAAATTGTACCGTTTGCTGTTCATATACCTCAATCATTTGAAGCAAAGCTCACACCATCAAAAGCTTAGTACCACTTAATTAATCTACAGTGCTACAATAATCGGTTATCCTTTTTAAAAGGAAAATAATAGTAATAAAAATATCATACAATTGAATCCAAATCATTCAGATCCTGCAACGACGTGACTGTATGGGTTGCATAACGTGCAGCTAGTGTTAGCCGAAGATTAGCACTTATGAAAATAATGATACCTACTGGGCCATTTCTGATACGCTCACCTCCCCCCTTTACGTGCCGTCTTTGAATGTCTGCGGCATGTCATGACTTCATCTTGCTGTTCACATTATAGAGCAACACACACAAAGAAACTGCTCCTCTAAGCTCAGCTCTACATCTTTCTAGCACTTAGCAAAGCTGTAACAAAGCCTGCATGAAGTTATTTCACCCTGGCCTTGCTTGTAATGCTGCGAGGACAAAAGATTCATTAGACAGCAATGCCTGCAAGCTGCTCCACCTTCCCTAGCTATTAACAAGATCACGGTCACTGCATCAATAAACACAAATGTGTGCTACGGAGTGTTCTGTTACCACCTGCTCTGCTCCAGGAACATTGAAATGTTTCACTTCCTCTCATCTCATTTCCCTTCATTAAGTCCCACCCATTCTCGCAGCTTTCTCTGCGTTTAACCCTGGCTTTTCTGCTGCCCACCACCTTTCATATCCTCTCAAGTAGCCTTCAGGCAAATACTTCCTTTTGTCTGAAGATAAAATATTTTCATTCACAAATTCTTTTTTGCTTCCCAGTAAATGAAAATTACTGCATTCTATAAAATGAAAGAATAACACACGTAACCTCAAAAGCAAAAAAGGAAAACATCTTGCCGGTGTAAGCGTATACAAAAATGGCACAGTGATATATATATATATATATATATATATATAAAAGAAAAGCAGTGGAATGTGGCATAAACACGAGAGACAGCTGGCTGCACTTCCTTAAAGCAGCATTAAACACACAAAAATATTTTATTGCAGTTTATTTATTCTTATTATTATTATACAGGATTTATATAGCCAACTGTTTGCGCAACACTTTACAATATAAAGGGAGACAATACAGCAACAATACAGTTCAATACAAGAGCGATAGGAGGCCTGCTCCTTGGAGCTTACAATCTAGGACTTAGGCACTTTCACACTGTGAGCGTTCCAGCTCACGTTTTTTGCACGTTTTTCATGTGTTGACACAAGTCACGATCAGTGGTGTATTTAGGTTTTTTGCTGCCCTAGGCAACACAAAAATTGAACGCCCTCCGCCTGGCGGAGAGAGCCCGACACCAACCAACACCAGACCCCCACCCGAGAGAGCCTTCCACTAACACACACCTGGTGAAAGAGAGAAAGACACTCACCTTCACAGCTCTGGACATCCCCAGGAGCGACAATCAGGCTCTGCATACACCATCAAAAAGCCCGCAGCCCCTCTCTCAGATCCCACCTGGTCCCCATGCCGCATATGTCCCTTTTTCCAGGGGCAGTGCTGCCCCCTAAAAAATCGAAGGCCACCCCGCCCAGCGGAGAGAGCCTGACACCGACCAACACCAGCCACCACCCGAGAGAGCCTTCCAGTAACACACACACACCTGGTGAAAGAGAGAAAGACACTCACCTTCACAGTTCTGGACATCCCCAGGAGCGACAATCGGGCTCTGCATAAACCATCAAACAGCCCGCAGCCTCTCTCGGATCCCACCTGGTCCCCATGCCGCAGATGTCCCTTCTTCCAGGGGCAGTGCTGCCCCCCTAACAAAAATGCAGCCCTAGGCAAATGCCTTGTTTGCCTTGTGGCAAGTACGCCCCTGGTCACGAGTAGGGCAGCCTATTCACTTGAATGGGCTCCTACGCACGACAAACACCCCAAAGAAGCTTCAGAACATTTATGGTTTGTGGAGCGTCAGACGTTTTTCAGTGCACGTTTGTAGCAAGTTTTGTCATGCTACCTGCGCATACAGTGCCATTACCACTTGCTCTCCAGAGGATTTACCCCCCCTTTCTGACCAGGACATTTTTTGCGATATGCGCTGTGTAAATTTAACTGACAATTGCGTGGTTATGCAACGCTGTACCCAAATGAAATTTATGTCCTTTTGCTCCCCAGAAGTGGAGCTTTATTTTGGTGGTATTTGATCACCTGTGCATTTTCTATTTAGCACTATAAAAAAAATGTTAGAAAAAAGACCGCCAATTTTGAGAAAAAAAACTAAAAATTTTTTGCTATTAAACATGTCCAGTAAAAAAAATTGTAAAAATTTTATTTCGTCAGCAATTTAGGCCAAAATGTATTCTGCTACAAGTCTTTGCTAAATAAAAATCTCAATACATGTAAATTGGTTTATGCAGCGGCGGACTGACAACTCATGGGGCCCCCGGGCAATAGGGGATCATGGGGCCCCCGAGTCCTTGCCCAAACTCAAAAAAGCCTATATGAAAAAGGTACCAGGGGCATCTCATGGGGCCCCCTACTGACCCCGGGCCCTCGGGCAGTGCCCGAGTTTCCAAATGGTCAGTCCACCCCTGGGTTTATGTGAATGTTATAGCTTCTACAAATGGCGATATATATACTGGAATTTTATTTTATTTTTATACTAGTAACGGCGGCGATCAGGAACTTATAGCGGGACTGCG